ACAGGAGAGAAAGGACCAGGAACCAATGGGTAACCGAAAACAAATTCCAAGTTCTAATTCAAAGATGTAATTCTTAACAAATGCTTTTTGCCTGCCAATCTGAATATGCAAAGGAAGAGACAAGGTCACATTTCTGCTTCCTGTCTTGACCAGGCACCACAGAGATATGGAAGAGCTGACCGTGGTAAGAATTCTCAGTTTGCTGGCTCCTGCCAGTTTTCCCAGGATCCCATCTGCAGGTTCCAGAGTGGGTGGGGTGTCCCAGCAGGTCTCTTACTGGTCCCCAGAAACCATAGGGGAGGAAAAATAATTTTCCCTCTACTTTTAATGGGGAGGGCTTGGCTGGGACCCGTTTTTCTCTAGGCATCTCCTAAATGGATAAGCGTATCTAGGTTAAAAGTTGTCTACTGTAGGGGCACCTGGGTGGCTCAGTTGGTTAAGCATCTGCCTTCAGCTCATGATCTCAGGCTCCTGGGATCGAGCCCCACATTGGGCTCTCTGCTCAGCGGGGAGCCTGCTTCGCCCTCTCCCTCTGCCTGCTGCTCTGCCTGCTTGTGCGCACGCTCTCTGTGAAATAAAATCTTAAAAAAAAAAAAGTCCACTGTAGCCACTGTACTCAAGATTATCCTCGGTAAGGTAAACCTGCTTGTTCAGCCTTACAATAAATTTGAAATCTGAGGCCTCACGCTGGACCCAGTCCAGCTAGGTTAGACCTAGGTCTAACCCCAGACCCAGTCAGGTTTCCACCTTGGCCCCAATCCAGTTTTCAGGTTGGACCCAGTTAAATCTGGATCCATTCTGGTTTTTAAGTCAGACCCAGTCTAGGAAAATAATGCTCAAATAAAGTCTGAAAGCTGCAAAAGCTGCAAGGCTGGATCTAAGAAGGACGGACCCACCACCTCCAGTGGCAAGAGGAACGCAGCAAGCTCTAGGGGCTCAGTGGGCACCTCTGCCCGGTGGCTCCCTGGTCCTGCGGGCGGGCAGATGTCTTCAGATCCCATATCAGACACTAGAACCGTTACAAACGGAGGCACATTACAAATTTTAAGTTTATTTGAGCTATCAAAATTACGGAGAGTATTAACCTGGAAAAGCTAAGATTCCACACCAACAGCTTCCTCTAGGACCTTAGTACTTAAAAACGTCACCCAGATTCTTGTTAGGAGTGCTGGATTGGAATCTGCCCTTTGACAAGATTCCAGGTGACTGAGATGTACATGAACATTTGAAAGGCAGCATTCTGAATCACCAACCTTGTGCTAGCACTATTTAAAAGCCAAAACAACAAAATACCCCAGAAAAAATCTCAGAATAAATGGCCATCCAAGACAAGTCAGGTGGCAGCACATACATGCACCACATGGCACTGTCTTTCCTCTGTGGGAGCCGCTGAGAACTTCTCTTGTGGGCTGGGGGGACCCGCTGTGAGGGTGTATCCCCGCTGCGGCAGGCCAGAAATTAAATGGCAGTAGAGTGGCCCCCGGGGAGCTGAGAATCCCTTTGAGTGGCTGTCCCACTTGCCCTCCTGTCCGTGACTGCCTAGGCAACTTTCCCTATAAAACTTCTTCTCCTCCAGTATTTTTGTTCCTAAACTTCTGTGTCATCTGAGTGCTGGGCTGCTGGTGAGCTCCAGGCTAGGACAGCTCATGGGGACTGGACCGGGCCGAGGGACACCCATGTTCACAGCTTCCCCCCGGAACATCTACAAACACTACCCAAGTGATGCCTCGGCTCCGGTTAGTAACAACTGTGGGTATCATTAACGCTAAATACAGCCGGGCAGGGTGAAAGAGTCACAGGATGAAATTTCTCACTACAAACCCCAAGTATCAAATCTGCCAAATTTCTTTCGGCAAAACTTAAGTAAGACTTGGTGGAAATTAACCTACAACAGCAGTGTCATATGCTGCCTGGAGTGAAATCTGATCCCTTGCTGTCAAATTTTCTAGGAAAAGAATCCACCCTGCTCTTGACATTCTCCACCTTGCACGAGGAGAGCTGAAGACAGAACCACAAAGTCTTGCTTACTCACATTTATTTCCAGACTCAACTTCTTTTCCTCTGGTTTGAGTCAGATTATTCATTGTAGGGAGGCCGTTTGCTTGGTTTCAAGTTGCTGGGAGTTTCCTTCTTTTCCGCCCATCACTCATCCCTTCTGTCTCCTGGAGTCTTGCATGGAAACATGACCGTACAAGGAAATCATTGCACGTGTCCCGGAGCCTGAGGCGCTTTTTCCTATAGATCAGTTTCAAACCCTGCCGCCCCCGCTCGCAGCTCCTGCCCTCCTTGAGCTGCATCTGAGAAGAAGCATTCCCCAATGCTCTCCAAATATACCATGCCTGGTGTTTCAGGCATCCATGTTCCTGTGACGCTGCAGCAGGCGGATTTTCCACCTGCTTCCTTTAGCATATTCAGCTTCCAGCCTGCCAGGAAATAGACTCGCCCAACACACAGTGGGGCCCGGACCGAACAGGTAGGAGAAGAATCAGTAACACACCGTGCACCCGACCTCCTGCCCCACAAAGAATCAGGATGCCAACAGCCTGGACGGCTCTGAGGGCATCTGCATGGTAGTCAGGAACTCAGCACTTGCCAATTCAGCTAGAGAGTTCCAGAAAAACTAGTGGTCTGGCACCACAGAAATACCTCCAAGACTTAATGACAAAGATCACAGCCACAAGGTGGCCCCCAAACCATTCCACTAAGCAAATGAGAGGTCTGGTGGTCTGGGGGCTGGGTAAAGGGACACTCTGAACACCCACAAAAGCTCCCAAAGAGATTTCTCCCAGACAGGGGAGGAGCAGCTGAGATCCTTTAGAGCAGCACGACTCAGAGCCAGGCAGGCTGCTGAGGAAGGGTCACGCCCTGGGGTGGGAGGCGGCAGAGGGCAGGGGAAATGCCCCACCGTGACCACTTGGGGAGTAAGCTCTAGCTTTTGGAAAAGACCGTTTTCCTCTTCACCTTTGTCTACCTCACTCAAAAGTCCCCAAATCAGAGTATCTTCTAAGATTAGCTACCCCATAGTAAATACTTTCAATTAACCTTTTACTCATTTTCCGATTATGAAAATGCCTTGAGTACTAACTGATTTGCCGTTTTGCCTCCTGGGGGATGTGAAATGATTGCTGAATCGTCCATTACCTCCCTCTTCTCCCTTCAACGCTCGTGTTGCACGAGAGGATGCACGCGGGGCCCCAACAGCCCCAGCCCGTCCAGCCCTCCGTGGGGACCAAACAGGCGAGTATCAGAGCGGCGCCACGTGCACCTTGCCCCGGACTGTGAGGTCATTAGCGACCACACACACTGGGCCTGCTTTCACTGCTGGGGCCACGGGACAGCACCCCGGGCTTCTGGGCACGTGGGGGCCACGGGGGACCCGGATGCCCCCCCAGGCACTAGTGGACACCCCCAGCGCGTGCGAGCCGCGGTGGGAAGGCGAGTGCAGAATCGGCTGGCATTGGTGCCTTTGTAAGCGGCCCCTAAATTCCAGTTCTTGATCCCCAAATAGACGGTTACGGCCCCCGCTTACGAGAACATGCGGCGCTTGGTGTACACGGTCGCGGAGCTGATACAACGGTAATTCCAGGGCACAGCGTGTGTGAGCAGAGCTTCGCCATGGAGAGCCTGCTCCCCACAGCCGCCACCACCGCCACCACCCCCCCTCCGGCCCCAGTCGGCAGGCGCAGACCGCCTGGCCCTTGTCAGGCGAGGGGAAGGGACCCAGGTCTTCTCCGTAATCGTCTGTACAGAAAGCAGCCTCGGTCTCCCCAACCCGTGCACCCCGAGCCTCGAGGGGGCCTGACCTGCTCACGCGACCCTGAGGAGTCCCTGCCTGGCGAGTCCCGAGTCCCAGAAACCAAGGCTCACAGAGGCACCACGGGGACTCGGGCCGAGGTCCCCCAAGCCGGGCTCGGCAGGCCGGCTGTGTCCTCACAGCAGTGTGCACGGCCTGGCCCGGCGGCCGGACCCTGAGCCGCAGACAGGGCGGCCCCCCTGCTCGCGGTCGGCGCAAGCCAGCGGCGCCCTGGACCTGCCCCTGGAAGCCGGGCTCCTGTGGAACGTGCCCCTGGGGGCCGGGCTCGCCGGGCTCCGGGACCAGGCGCCTGGGCACACTCGCCCTGCAGGGACTGCTGCCCGACAACAGAACCTGGCCTTGGGTGGCACATGCAGATGGCAAAGAAATTACTAAACTAGTTAAAAGACAAATATTTTAATCTAGTTTTCCCACTTCATACTAAATCATTAATACAGGTCACAAATTGCATTTATTTGCAGACATCTAGAAAACAATCAGAAGTGTATATCTCTCTCTATAGATCTTATTAATAAATTTTATTCGGACAAGAGAACTTGTGCCACAACAGTTTAAACAGCATGATTAAAGACCGCAGCACTCCTGAGAGTGGTCACAGGTATGTACAGCGTGGGAAAGAAAGCTGCACCTAGAGCCGATCATGATCAAGTTAAAAACACCTGACATACAGCACACGTGCCAATAAACTCCTTCAGATCATGACCAGCATGAAGAAAATCAGGACATAGATACTCAGCCAACCAACGTTCTGTAAATGTGCACAGCAATATGCTGCATTTAAGAGTTAAAATCAGATTCTACTTTAGTGTTAGCATCAAGCCCTTAGGAGAACCCCTCCCCCCCAAATCTCCTTTCGCATTTACACACGCCAGAAACTATTCACACTTAGGGCTGGGCTGGGCAGCTGGCCACAGAACCAACAGGTCCTTGCCTGCGTGGGGACAGTGCGGGCTAATACTGAAGGTCTCTTTACATCCTGGCTCACAGCCGCCTTCTGGCTGCCACTCCATCTATCTGTCGTTAAAGAAAACCAGGAGAAAGCAATGCAGGTCTCTGGGAATCTCCTCCCTTCCACAAGGAAAATGCTCTGCCAATTCAAGTTTCATTCAGTCAGGAAGACGGAAGGATTTAAGGCTTCGGTGACAATTATAATCCTCTGAGAAATTATTTTCCCTTAAAGTCAAGATAAGATAATAGTGTTTACTGTACTTTCTCTTGACTCTTAAAATCCCTGGTATCAGTGTAGGCAACTTGCACCTGCAATTGAGTCTGCGAGAGAGGAAGGTCTCTCCTCCTCCCAGAGGCTGTCCCAGATCACACGCGTGGAGCACTTGTCAGCCCTTGGCCCCCGAGGAAGGAGGACAACGAGGTCCCAGCTTTCTAGTAGGTTGAGGAAGCTGTGCTCATGGCATCATCAGAAATTTTGGTACTAGCAGGGTGGATGCTTGCAAAATACTTGACGTCACTGTCCCGATCCATCTGAAGAGCCACGATGGTCTGTTCCACGGCTTCCTGGTGACAGCCGGCAGAGGTCAAGAAATATTCTGGAGACGCAAAGTGCAGATTACAGATAAAATTAGTTTAACAATTCAGTTTTATCAGGTACAAGTATACGAAATTCTTGGTCATAAAGTATAAACACAAGCTATGTTGAATTATAAACAGTAATCTGAATTGATCTGTGTGATATGAAAAAAAACCCCAAACATAAGAGAATCAGAAGATTTATCTTGATTATTTTTAGAAGACTAAATGGCAGCGAAGCTAATAAACATATTAAAACTTATACTTGTGATAGCTATTAATTCACTCAAGTAAAAACACCCCAAATACCAATCACACACGACTAAAAACCAGTCTTCTCTAGCCATTTCCTTATAATTGCTATTAAAACGATAAATGAATTCTAAAGAAGAAAAAAGCAGTATTCATTTACCCATATTCTTAGACGTCTATTACCTTTCTGTGCTTTGTTTACGAGTTCATGCATTAAATGATATTTATTAGGTATTTTGGGGGGATGACAATAAAATAAGCTAAATCTTGAGCAGCTTCTTAGGATGTGCAGCAGAGCAAGTACTAGGGGGCGTCTGTCTTCTGCATAAGGAATGAAGAGCAGGAGGAAACCCAAACATGCCTCCTGGCCTAGAACAGCAGTAACACACGTCATGCGGGGCAGACCGAAGGCAAGAGTTTTTCCTCCTAAGTGACTATCCAATCTCTCAAACTAAGTCTGCAGTTATAAAAGAAATGCCCCTGGGGCAGAAAGACGAACATGTCCCTGTCCTCCAATCTGTGTCCTCCCTTAGGGGTCCCCCATTAACAACTCACAGATCTTCTCCTATCACATTATGTTTGTGGACATACAACACTTCTCCCTCCATGTAGTCTACATGCCTCCTCCCTGCCACATACAGTTTTCCTAACAGAGCCACCCACCCACCTTTCTCTAGTAGAGTTTGTCTTAATGTCTTTGCGAGCAGCACTCGAACGTTTGGAACCCTATCATTCGCCAAGGTTAGCAGATGTGGCATCAGATGCACGGCGAACTGGTCCATGGGAAGGCAATCGTCCTCAATGACAGTCTGGGGAAGACAAACAGCTGCTTTACATTTGCCAAGGTAGTCTACCAAACCAGGATACCGGCGAACACTATCTTTTAATAACAACCGAAGTACTCCAGATTTTAGTTACTTCTTTTTAAACCAATATTCCAGACACTTGGGAACTCAAAACTAAGATGACATAATTTTAAGTCCCTACAGTTTTTTAATGGTTCCACTGAGTCCTGGAGTGTGCAGTATGCACAGTCACACGCATTTATACACATGTGCCATGGGCCCCGAGCACCCCCTAGCGGATGGCTGTGGGATGAGCCAGGCAGGCCCCTACTCTAGGGAACCGGTGATCCTACGAAGAGCCAGATGCAAAACTCTGTTCCTTAAGGATAAGAAAGAGGGTGTTGAAAGGCAAAGAGCGGGAGAAGAAATGAAGCTTCAGAGAGAAAAATGGGTCACAAATGGGTAAGTCTTCACTTACCTGGCAGACAAAGACAAAGGCTTGCCGACCAGACCACTTGGGACATCTACCAAAGTTTTCTACAAGCTCATTGATGAGGTCCACTCCAAACGTGGGGGGTGTCGCCATGTGCAGCTTCTTCACCATTTCACTGACCTAGGAGGGGGAACACAGAGAAGTGAGGAGTTCTAGGATCTTCTTGAATAGTGTACTGTTCTAAAATTGTAAAAATTGTAACACATACCAACTTGTAGGAAATCCAACGAACAGAAGAAACTTTATCTGCACATAGATTCAGAGCAATGGGACGTAAATAGTCATAAACATCTCTGGGACTATATAATTCTAGAAGTAAAATCAGCTGTCTATAAAAGTGAATTATAAAAATAAAAATATAATTAAAATTTTAAAATAAATGAAAATAGGTTAATCATCTGAATAATTTGTAATACTGGATACTATTTGTAAGATGAACACATGCAAAGACTAGTGATTAACATGGTCTCTCATGCATAGAGTTATCTCTAGTCTGTATGTATCTGGAAATGCATTTAAACACTATGCAAGTTCAAGAAGTATCTCTTCCCCTCAGAACGTAAGGAAAACCAATGTAGAATTTTGTGTCCACAGGGACTGAGAGACAGAGCAATGCATTTCCCACTATGTTCAACTGGGACATGAAACACATTTTTTCCACAGTAACCGTTCAGAATGCTAAGAAACTTCCATCTACAAATCAGTTTCCTAGATAAAAAGTTCTAGCAATATTAGGTAGCCTGATGTGTATCTATCAAGGCTCTGAGCAGCTTCTAAGGGAATGAATGATACGTTTACTAGGGATAACAGAAATGAAGAGGTCCTCTAGTGACTGTTCCTATTACATCTGGGGAGACGTGAAGACTGACCGCGTCCACCAGTCTACTTTGAGTAGACACAACAATGCCCTTGAAAAAATACCTCTGATACAAATGAGATTTTTGCCTTTCAGATTTTATGTTTAAGACTATTTACATTCGTAATCAGTAGGGAGTAAACCAAAAGCATGAATATACATAATGTAACAATGACCCATGTGCTTGTACACATATATAAAATACTCAGAGATGAGAGGCACATTTATCGATTCCATTTTCTGACACTGCAAACTTTCTTGCTGGCCTCCCCTGGGTGCATACCACATGAGAAAGTCGGGGGTCAGGAAAGCAAACCGGAGAGAGGCTGTGATTCAGCAGGCAGGAAAGGAGTGACACATCTTGGGGGACAGGCATAAAGCCCCACACACTCCCCTGGGCCCTTCTCTTTACTGAGCCTGAGCCTTACGGTGCTGACAGAAGGGCAGCAAAGCCCGCTCACCCCTGGGCACAGGCGAACACACTGCAGCGGGGGGGCAGAAGAGAAGAACTCTCTCCCAGAGAGGGGGGCAGCAAACCTTGAGCGAAGACCCTACACTGATAACAAAAGAAGTCTCCTCCTGCTGAGGAGGGGCAGGAACCTGTGCCCAACATGGACCACAGACACGAGGCAGAGACTGGATGCTACAGGGATAGGGGAGGACTCTGAGAAAGCCCAAGGCCCCAGGGCCTCCCAGAGACTGAGGGTGAACCAAAATAACAGAGATTCTCCTCTTTCCTAGCACAAGCCTACCATATCCTAACAGCGGTCTACAGCTGCGGGAGGGGAAGAGACCCCCCTGGTTTACAAGGGTGCATGAGAGCTGCAAGCTGAGGGTAGAACACAAACACAGGAGGAGGCCCCCTGGAACCCCGGCTCCCACCCTCAGCAAAAGGCACTGGCAGGCCATGGTGAGAGGCAGCAAAGCTTACCAGGCACTGAAGGCAATCATAGCAACAGCAAAGCCCAAACCCAGCTTGCTTCTGATTAGATGGACCCAACCCTCCACACTAATGGCAGAAGAGATGTGCCTATTTTCAGTCAGAAACCTGGCAAGCCAGAACCTTTAATGTACGAAAACAACAACAACAAAAAACAACCAAGACTGTCAGTCCCAATTCTATACCCAGCAAAGATATCTTTTAAAATTGCAAGTGAGGTCTGGAATCCAGAATACATAAAGAACTCTTACAACTCAACCCAATTTAAGACAAACAGCCCAATTAAAAAATGGGCCATGGACTTGCATAGACATTTCTCTGGATTATATATAAATGGTCAACAAGCATATGAAAAGGTGTTAAACACCACCAGTCATTAAGGAAATGCAGATCAAGATCACCACAAAACACTGCTTCGCAACTATAATGATGGCTATTAATTTGTTAAAAAAAGGAAAACACCAAGTGTTGGGGAGGATGTGGTGAAACTGGAATCCCTGTACATTGCTCATGGGAACGTAAAATGGTAGAACCGTTGGGGAAAATAGTTTGGTGGCTCCTCAACAAATTAGACAGAATTATCAAAAAATCCATCAAATCCACCACAGAGTAAGTGAAGACTGGTGTTCAAGGAAAAACCTGTACATGAATGTTCATAGCAGCACCAGTCACATCAAACCAAAATGTAGAAACAACCCAAACATGCACCGAGGGATGAATGAATTTTAGAAAGTGGTATACAATGGAGTATTGATCATAAAAAGTAATAAAGTTCTGACATATGCTACAACACGAATGAATCTTGAAAACATGCTGAGAAGTCAAGAAACAAAAGGCCACATGTTATAAAATTCCACTTATATTATATGTTCAGAATAGGCAAATCCACAGAGGGTAAAGTAATGGTTGCTATAAGTTGAGGGCACAGAGGGATAAGGAATGACTGTGAAAGGGCATGGTGTTCCTTTTGGGAGGATGGAATGTTCTAGAACTAGATAATGGTAATGGTTGCACAACACTATGAGTGTACTAAATCTTACCACAGTAAGAAAAAAAAAGGCGAAATAGGTTTAAAAAAAAAAAGGCTGAGAAAATTCACTGCTGGCAAGACCTGCACTTCAAGGAATGTTTTATAGAACACCAGAAAGAAACTTGTATCTACACAAAGTAATGAACAAATCCCAAAAAGGTAAAGATGAAGTAAATACCCCTCCAAAACATAGTCCAATAAACTGTGAGAACTTACTCAGCCAGTTCAGCTCGAAAGCGCCAATTTCTACTATTATCTGTCACCAAAAACTCCTGAAGTTGATAAAGATACTCTCTTCTTTTGTCAATATGAAGAAGCTGAAGTGACAAAATAAAAATATTTGCTAAGATATAGGCATTATTACTTTTACTAGACTGCTTGAAAACAACTATAATATAGTTAATTCTGAGAACAGATAGTTCTCAGATTGTTTTAAAATTGACGTTAAGGTCATTTTCCCCGATAATCCCATTTACCATTAAGAGTCTTATCCTTTTTTGAAATATTTGTTCCTTGAGCCATATGTGACCTCCTCTGAACCCTACAGTAACTTGGTCACAGATCTATGGCAGGACTGACCCACTATGCTCATGGGACACCGTCGTTACTGTGAACTCTTGGAAGACAGTAATGTGCTGTAACTCACACATGTGAGCCCAGTGCCTGGCACTGGGATGGCACATGGTAGGTGCTCAATAAATATTTGTTGAATGAAAAAACATTTATCCCAATAATTGCTCTATAGTCATTTTAAAGGACGTTTATGGTCAGCAAGGGGGGAAAACCCTAAATTTGATATAAACAGAAGCAAACAAACAACTGTATATCAGTTAATCACGCAGAAAAAAAGTACTCTGACTATACACGTTCATGGGGTATGTTCTAAGGACAAAGTGCTGAAGGAAATCTTGAATGTTTTTTTGGTTGAGTTGATGTTAGAATTAATATTGGTGGAGTAATTCTGAAACTCCATGTATGCTGTGGAACTGAGTAAACGACTGAGTACGTTCACGTTAAGAACAGAGTTTTTACCGTGAGAGAAAAGAAAAAATAGGAAGTGGAAAAAGGAAAGGAAACAGTGTGGGACTGGAAGCTATTCGTATGAACTCAGTAATTAAAACAAACAAACAAACCCAAACCAAAAAAACCGCTGCCAGCTCCCGTCCCCCGAGAAGGCGGAAAGGAGATGATGCCCCAGGGAGCAGGGGCACATCCAGGCCCTGGGGCGTACTTCTAACTGCCGCTCTCCACCGGAAAACAGCTGACTTGGGGCTGGGGCAGAGGAAGGAGAAGGTGGGGTAGAAGGAAGTAAGGCTGTGCTTAACATGAGGGGACAGATCAAAGGGGCCCGGGAGGCGGCTTTCAGGGGTTCCTGTTAGCCAAACTCATGCTCAGAACCAAGGACAGAAATGGATTACGCTGAATAGAAAAAAATTCCAGAGTTCACACTTAACGCTAAAAAAAAAACTTCCATGAAGGGGGAGGGAGAGAAGGAAAATATTAGCTTTGCATGAGCATGCCAACTAATAAATGGAGAAGGAATTATAAAAACAGAAAACTGGTATTTTACAGCCAACACAGTAACAACCGATTGAGGCGAGAACCGTGTACAGACGCACGGACACAAAAGCTCTGGGTAAAAGACTCGGGGGGGAGGTGTTCAGAGTCTGAAAGTATCGCCCCCCCAAGCGATCGCTAATCAGGAAGGTGAGAGGTCATTTTATAACGGAGGGAGCCAGCCGACGCCACCATGATCACGTGGCCGGGGTCACATCGCCAGTGATGCAGGGATGGTGCACACACAGGCGACGTGCCCGCTGAGCAAACCTGCGACCTGAATGTCACTGTGTAGCCGCCCTCAAACTGAGGGGCATCTGCAAAGCAACCAGCTTGGCCTCTTCAAAGATGCCGATGACATTAAAGACACAAGTCAGGAAACTGTTCTAGATCTAAGAGGGCTAAAGAGATGCAATATTCAAATTCAATATGCAATTCCTGATTGGATTCTGAACTGGGGGATGGGGGAAGCACACTAATGGGACGGGCGGAGAAATTTCAGTATGATCTGCATAAAATACACTAACACAGTACCAATGCTTTCCAAAGTAGGATTGTATTACTTCTGTACTTCAAAACTTCAAACTGCAAGAGTCAATTTCAAGGTTAAAGTCTAAGAAACAATAGTATTCCAGGACTAACAAGTTGTAAGATCACAGCTGTTCACCTCCAAGACCAGAGATCCATACCGTCTCCTAAGATAAGGACTTCTAAAATATCACATAAAGCCTCCAAACTTAAATGTTCATGGAATTTTTGTACATGTATTTAATTCAGTAATTTTGAAAAAAAAAATGCTTATAATCATGATCTAACAGTGTTTAAAAATGAAATTTAGGGGCGCCTGGGTGGCTCAGTCGGTTAAGCGGCTGCCTTCGGCTCAAATCATGATCCCAGGGTCCTGGGATCGAGCCCCGCATCGGGCTCCCTGCTTGGCGAGAAGCCTGCTTCTCCCTCTCCCTCTGTCTGCTTCTCCCCCTACTTGTGCTCTGTCAAATAAATAAATAAAATCTTTAAAAATAAATAAGTAAAATTGAAATTTAGTGTAATTATTTTAAAATTAAAAATTCAAAGGACACCAGCAAAAGTGATCAGAATGGGACTTTTTTTTTTTTTAAGTTACATCTTATCCGCTCATGGCTACATTTTCTTACGTAGAACATACGGAAACTTAATCTTGGTGGGAACAGAAAACCAAAACTTCTACAGTGGAACTTTAGTCTGTTTTTATGCAGAAAAATTTAAAAGTTACCTTCAGAAAATCATGCAAATGTTTAAGAACACCTATCCTGACTTCATCGAGGTCTTTTAAAAATCCATTGAAGATGGGAACCAGATCTGCAGCTGTCAGCTGATCTCCAAGGATAACTGCAAGCTCGTGGATGGAGAAGGCTAATGTTCTTCGAACCTTCCACTGCAGAGATAAAGATGACTGTGTTCGTAAACGAAGCACACGGTACCAAGTGCTTTACCTCTCAGCCGGCGTATGCAGGCTAACTTAGATCTAAATGTTACCGATCTCAGACAATTAAATCGGAACAGAAGTGATGATAAGAAGAGACGCTCAGCTTTAAATGCCTGCTATGTTTCAAAAACTGGCAGAGACATTTCAAAGCCCTGCATGGTGTGTATTATTCTCCTTTCATTTACAAAAGGAAAAAAGCTTGGAAATCACTAAGGGCATAGTCTTTGTAGTTCTCTGAACACTGGATACCCGATTTACAGATGTCCCACATCCATCAAAGGCTGGCTAGTATCATCCTTGCTTGACTGTTCCCCTTCTGATTCTTGTACAATCTATCTTATGGTTAAAAAAACAGTAATGAAACTTGTTTCTAAGGAACTGGCAATTAAGGAAATGTAAGAACAGGAAAATGTAGGGAAGTTTACATTAAAAACATCTTTTTCTTCATGTTGCTTTAGTTTAAAATGTTTTACTTTGTTACTTAGCTTAAAACACTCTACTTGCCGAGAAGCCATTTACAGCAAGGGTTTTATCCCCAATCCCAAACACTAGACCCTATTCTTGAAATAAAATTTTATACCCACATTCAACATATCAAGCAGATGAAGGCAAAGCTGTTCTGGTGGAGGGGAGGGGAGAAGGGGATAGAGGCAAGAAGCCCCGCCCATCTAGGGCCTTCCCAGTCACCAGGGGCCCCGAGGTGCACACCCCACAGGAACCTTGAAAGGCCTGTGGAACGAAGATGGAAAACCACCGATGTGGAGGACACGGCACTCTGCAGATTGGTCCTTTGTGGTCCCCTGCCCAGTTCTACCGGTGAAGAAGTGTGTGAACACAGGATAAATTCACTTCACCTGGACCCTGTTCCTAACCTCATAGGTCAGAAAAGGACCTTAACCTATGTTCTCTCAAGATTACTTCCAACTCCTACCTTGCTTAGTGAACAGCACAAATTCCTTGAAAAATGCAATACTCACTAACATATTTAAAGGAAAATGATTCATATCTCAGTATAAATTCGTCTAACCAGGCTGCTTTCTTAATAACCAAAAGATTAATTTCACCAAACAGATTTTGTGGAAGAGGGGCAAAATTTTGGTGTATGACATAGAAACCAGACCTAATGGCAGGGAAAGTTAAGTCAACAAGATCTAGGGAAAGAGCCACAAAATCACACAGATATCCAGAAAAGATGACCTAGGGTCAACATTTCACATTTTGTTTTCTTTCAGAGGGATGGTGTTGGTAGTGTGCGCGTCGGACACACACACACACCTTCCCCCACCTTTACTGCAACACTCACTGAACCAGGGCCCAGAGTTCGGGAGTGCTAATGCTACTAGAGTTCTATTTAAGTTTTAAGAAAATAAAAGAAGCATTTATAACACTGTGTCTAGAATCAATCTACACATAAACTTCGAACAATAACACATTTGTAAATTAGGAACTTAGGCACGTCAAATGCAATAATTTCCAAATGGTGGAACTTGGGACCATACAAAAAGCAAGCTCTTTGGTATTACTTTCAAGCTCTTCTGCACATGATTTCCTGTAATACCAAGTATTTGCTGGAATATGAACAGAAACGCTCCTAGGTTGTGAAGGGCACATCACTGTGCCTTCCATCCACACTCACTCACCTGCATGTCTGACGCGAGCGTCTCGTAGGTCTCTCTCAGGCAGTGCCAGTTCTGCCTGCCCAGGGTCAGGGCCACGCCGGGAAGGCTGTAGGCACAGTGCTTAGCGATCTCAGTGTCGACGGTCTGTGCACGAGACGGGTCTGTCATAGATAAATACTGATCTAACAGAGCCTGAGGCACAACATCCTAACGGAGAGAGACACACGGCAGGGATTCATTTTAGCAGTCTAGGCATAAATTGAGTAAATTTATTTTTAAATAGATGAAAAGAGTTTAACATAGCATCTCAACGAGCAGAGAAAAACCCAGTTTCAAAGTTTCAGGGATCTACGGAGAAGAGGTAGGAAAAACATGCTAAGGAAAAAATATATCTAAAGTTTTTTTTTTTTTAATTTTATTTATTTATTTGAGAGAGAGAATGAGAGATAGAGAGCACGAGAGGGAAGAGAGTCAGAGGGAGAAGCAGACTCCCTGCTGAGCAGGGAGCCCGATGTGGGACTTGATCCTGGGACTCCAGGATCATGACCTGAGCCGAAGGCAGTCGCTTAACCAACTGAGCCACCCAGGCACCCAGGAAAAAATATATCTAAATAAAAGAAGCCACTCCAGAAGAAAAACAGTAAGATCTTAGAACAGAACACAGCTTAGATGATGATCAGAGCTGATGACTAAACTGAAGAGCTGCACCAGCAGTAAGACAGGCACCTCTCAGCGTTGGCGGGGGGCCAAGTCTGAAGTGACCCAGCGGATGTGATGAAACAGGCACACTATTACCAACCTGGGTTTTATAAAAACAACACCCACCTTTCGATGGAAATTGAGCAATTACCTATAAAAATTTAAAGTGAATAAACATCTAACCATTCATATAAATGTGAGGAAAAGAAGAATGTCTACACAGTCTTGCTAACATATACATAACACAGCTCTGGAAGAACATACAAAAGAAACAAAACCAGTTGCTTTGGGGAAAACCAAATGGATGCTGGAGGAGAAAACCGAGAAGGAAGTATCACCGAATGTCTCTGTACCTTTTGAATTCTGAACTATATAAACTTACCTATTTATAAAAAATGAACTAAAATTGAAATAAATTCATTAAGAGAATGAGACCATCCGTTTTTATGAACTTGAAAATACATCTACAATGTAAGCGGTGAAAAGCATGTTTACAACACTGTGAATACGAATTCCATTTTTAATAAACAGAGCAAAAAGAAGAACATATACCATTTGACCTAGGAAATGCCCACATAATCACAATGAATGCGGCACCACATGTAAGGTCCCAGAACTGAACCTGGAGGCATCATAAGGAACTTCGGAAGGTAGTTCTCAAGACAGAGGCCACACTGCAGGGACACTGTGCTGCTATGGTGGGCACGGGCAGTGAGCATATATGGAAAGATCAACACACACACAGAGGCAGGGTACAAACGATCATATTCCAAATATTCCATAAGCATATTTTCCCACATTTAAAATTTCTGAAATTGGAGTGTAACTTGCCACTGATGGCACTTTATATGGCTTAGGGACACTTTTTCATACTTCCATCTCTGAAATTGAGATGTATCTTGTAATTCTTGGCAAATCAGGCACCATGAAATACCTAGGTATGATGGCACGATTCTGTCTTTGACAGACAAAAAGGGGTACGTATGCATGTTTCTGTACCCAGAAAATGTTTATGAAGAAATATACGGGGCGCCTGGGTGGCTCAGCTGGGTAAGTGTCCAACTCTTGATTTCGGCTCAGGTCGTGATCTCAGGGTCATGAGATCAAGCCCCATGTCAGGCTCTGCTCTGGGTGAGGAGCCTGCTTAAGACTCTCGCTCTCGAAAGGAAAGAAGGAAGGAAGGAAGGAAGGAGCTGTGATCTGTGGTTACTCTGAAGAATGTGATCACAGGTGTGAGAAGAGGAAGATTTCTGCTTGTATTCTACTCTATTTGAATTTTCTTATCATAAGTATGATATACTAGTCTTATTTTTAAAAAGCTCATTGTAAGGAGGACCAAATTCGGTGGGAATTGGGTTTCGAAGAGGAATTAACAAGACCCTCACCACATAAAGACTTGTTGTCACTTACTTGTACTTTAGATCTCCTCTCCTCATCAGGGCTAAAACTACTGTTGGTGCTCAAGTCCGAGTCATTATGAATATAGCGAAGGGCAGAGTCCATATTCTGTTAGGAAAAAATATTTACGTGAAGAACTATCCCTTCTCTAAGTGTCCTTCACTTAAACCATCTTACTAAGTTACTTACCTTTCAAGACTACCTGGAGATATAAATACATATAAATTCTTCAAGCTTTTAAAAGCTTATAAACATGCCTAAGATCTCATAAGAAATCCCCCCACACCCCCGACTTGAGTCAAACTTGCGGAATAGGTTACTAAACATATGAAAATGAATTCCAGAATAAACTCATTAAAATATGTAAATTGAGAAGTAATTTTGAAATGGTTCCAATATCTAAAAGTAGCTTACTTATAAAATAGTATTATTATATTATAGAGGGTGCTTTTGGTCAATGTTTTAGAGGCCATGGGATATCCTATGTAATTTTTCTTCTACTGTTGGCTATTTCTAATTTCACAAATATACTTTTTTACCAGCTTCAAAAAAACTCCAAAACAAACAAAACACCTTCTAAAATGCAGAGATATCATAGCATTCGAATCTCCAATGATGACAGGTGGCCAGGGTTTCATTCTGAAGCACGGGTATTATATAAGATTTCTAACTCTACCAGCTGTCACCTAACAAAAAACAAAACAGAAATCCACTAACGCTCCAAGAACCCTCTCCATCCCCGGTGTGTATGCAGGCACTCTGCCCTGAGCTTATCACTCGAGCCGCTCTGATCTGTGACCGGCTGCTTCTGGCAACCAGTGGTGCTATTCCTTCCCCGTGTTTCTCTAAACAAGGGTAAGAAATACCGATCCCACATGATGCTGGCTGGGGGCAGGGAGTGCGGTAGGAAATCGGGGAAGGATCACACAGAACAGCTCCAAGTACACAGCGAAGATGATGCTAGTAACAGTACCCACCCTCACACTCCAGAGTCCAGATAATGCCACTGGCCCTCCGCAACATGGCCTCAAGTCCCGATCTTCTGCTCAGAATACTGTGTTGCTTGCTGCAGTGAAATGGTCCGATCAGAAACAAAGCACCTCTCCAAAAAGAAAAGGGAAGAGTTAATTATTCTTGATAAAGGGCTTTGTTTCCAGTAAGACTATTTCACTGCAGTGAGCTACGTTAACACATTGAGGCTACTCAAATGGTCATGTAGACAGGACTGGGATTTACATTTCCAAGCATTGAACATGACACTAATGTCACAAAGACAGGATGTGGTGACAAGTACTTTTACTTTATGCCGAAGAGAGAGCTGACGAAATCAGCAACAAACAGAATGTACTAATTAGGAAGTGATTAGCTACAACTATTCCCCCAACAAAAGACTTCTGATTGGAACTATTTTCACTGGATAAACATTTTACTGAGTGCATTACCTCAACAGCATCGCTGATTAAAGGCACGGAGGCGTCGTGATTTATTTTACAGTTTGGTAGCTCGTTTACACCCAGCTCATCTTGCACATCACTTCTCTTTTCTGCATCGCTGGCCTCCTCGTGAGCGTCCAGCCTGGAAGCACGCAGCGCGGCGGACAGCACGTCCACTTGCGCTGTGGGCGGAACAGGGAAAGGGCGTGTGAGCGGCAGAATCGACGACCTGCCTGCAAGTTTCTCCTCCGTTTGCACTAGAGGTTATCAATGAAATGTATACTGTTTTGACACTGCCATCAAAAAGCTGAAAAAAAAAACTACTGTGGTAAATCATTAGTCCTTCGAGAGAGAAAGTAGAAAACTAATATGCTTTCATGAGATTAAAAATGCTTATCCACTACTGTACATTATTCTGCGTTAGTATGAAAGAGAAATGCTATCTAGTTTTGGAGGTACCTCCAGTTTATTAAAAGGAGTCAATTTCAGTGTAAGTTAACTATGTTTTGGTAGTGCATGAATCGAACTGACAAGGCTTACTTACTAAGCTATTTTAGCAGAAGAGCAGTCACACAAACCCTGCCAACATAAAACAATGGTAATTACAAAGATTTTTGTTGCAGTTACATTTCAGCATCTCATATCTCATTCCAGTTTATTTTTCTCTTCCCTCTAATTCCTTTTGAAAATGAAATTAGTGACTCGGACACCCCCACGTGTGCACTGTCTTGCTTGTAAGCAAACCAAAACAACAAATTACCAAGCAGTGATTCTTAAATCTGGTAAATGTTTTATTACCAGTCTAAGTTTCGTGTTACACCTTCTTTATAAAAGTGATTCAAAACTAAAATAAGGCATTCTTCCTTCTCCCAAACAATTGAGACATGCAGCGAAAAAATTGGTTATATTTGTTCAAGTAACAATCCACCTGGATGCTCAAAATATAAAAATTCATCAATTTTAACTTCGAAATTAGTACAAAGATCAGAAAGTGTGTCCCCATGCCACTTAAAAAATTATAAAAAAAGCAATTCTAGTACTTTCATTAAGACAGCCTATTATGGGGCTGCAGCATTTATGAAACTCAAGCCCAAGCACATCGGGCCCCTGGCAGCGGAGATACAGGAGACATATGGGATGAGCTTCTATTCTATTAGGTCATTAGCTGCTGAGTTAAGTAAAGTAAATTGAAGGTGTTTAATCGTAAAAAGTTACTCATGCAAAGTATGCTCATTCTTTTGAGAACTCCAGTTGCAATTTGTATTAATCCTTTTAATCAGTTTAGGCCCCGTTCTGGAATCTTTTTAAGTTTTCAAAACAAATCAAAATAGTGCTAAAGGAGATTGCACAATACATAAAGGTTAAAATGTTTTGTCCCACATAAAATGCACGGGGTGTGAGAAAAAGAGCCCTAACGCATTTTGTTTCCCAGAAAGTAATTAATCAAAAGCCTTTCACAGAAAATGCCTTACATGAGTCATTTCTCTCTAAATGGACTACATATTTCTCTTTGTCTCCTTTAATGTTTGTACATTCATAAGTTTAAACGAGTTACATTGTGAAGTTACCTTCCTCAAAAAACTGATACATAAAGATCACCAAGACAGAGCCTAGTGCTGACTCCTGAGGAAACCTGATGCTTCAACTCTCCAGCCAGAGAATGAAGCAGAATCTAATGCCGGGCTAAATGCTGAAATTTCAGCAGGATACACTACCACAAAAAAGTTAAGAAAACTGAACACACAAGGTTTTCATCAAAATCTGCATTCTACTTAAAATACAGACTGAAATCCTAGGAACCAGGGCTGGTTTAATCACAGACTTGTGTGAAGAAACACAGTCCCCAGTGACTCATGCTCAGATGTAGGGACAACGTAGAACTTTGAATTTTACTCCTTCCCTGAAGAAGCTGGTACAGTTAAGCTAAAACTTCATAATAATCTCTCAGGCTTCCACACAACATACTGGTGGTTAGTCACAAATTCCTAACAATTTATAGATTTCAACAAAGGAACAATATGATTTTTTCTGACCACAGCTACCAAAATGGCCCAAATTCTTCCACTGGGCCTAAACTGGGTAGAAACCTAGATTTTGTGAGCTTGGGCATTTTTTCCTTTTGTAGTCTATGAGTCTAGCTATAGTAAACCAAGGTGGCATCAGTAATGCTACTCAGTCATAGAGTTCAATCCGGAATCGTTTGGTGACCCCAAATGCCAGAGATTTTCAAAGTGCCCTAGACAAAGCCAGAAAAACCTCAAATTCCCTAGGTAAGTATTTTAGAAAAGAAGATCTCTTACACCTTCTTCATGTTTTCCTACTTCCCTCTTTGGCCTTCCATGTTTCTGTTCTATGACTGAGAAAGGGCTTTCTTTTTCTGACAAGAATATCTTTCTAGTCGCTCGAAACACTTAAATTTTTTTGACCAAAAATCCGGAGAGAAAAAACCCCACAAATGCTTTGACAAAGGGAAGAGTTAAATTTAGCAAGACTGGGAAGCAAAGGTCGCCTTATAAGCAGCAGCCCCAGCCTTGTTACGGCTTCCCAACAATGCCCACTAACAGCAAGCAACGAGGGGAAGGCCAAGGACACAGGCCTGGGAGCGCCGAAACTCCACTTGAGCATTCCCTGGGCAGTGCTGCTTTACCATTTTACAGGCCAGCTGACAAGAAAAAATTAACACATGCGACCTAACTAGTTCAAAAAGGTGGACATTTCCCGACAGTTTGTGGCTGCCCACAATGGCAGAATTAGAAATGAGGACACATCCAAAATTAACGTATAGCCCTTCAAAGCACCTTCTGACACTATGGAAAATCAAGGCACAGTTACTGAAGTTTAACACAAGTTAAACATGCCCTCAGATTTCAATGAAATAAAAAAAAAAAATCAGGAATTCTGTAGCCTAAGAAGAAAATGCCCAACACTGCCCACCTATGTTTTACTGCAGAACATCGGACGCATGGGCAGTTTATGTGCTAAGCATCCCCCTTCTGTGCTCTTTGAGGCTGGGATTTTGGTCTGGTTTGTTGCTGCTCTATATTTAGCGCTTAGGAGCACTTACTGAGCAGGCACTCAGTAAGAAATGCTGAACAAATCAGTGAATCAACACATATGTTATGAAAGGGCCATCATGACGGACAGAAAGAACATTGCAACAGATTTCAATTACAGCAGGTGTAAGAGCTGAACTAGAAAGAATGGATTAAATCACAATACAGTATTTGTACTGAAATCGCTCACCTGCAGCCTATATATTTTAAATGAAACAGGATTAGCCATCTTCTGAAACACAAAGCTGGATCCTCAAACTTGTATGTGCACATAGGTCTTTTTTAAAAGGCACACCCTCACTTTTAGCTTGTTAAAAAAAATTTTAACATAGTTTATTCAAATATTTCAATTACCGTTTGTTAAGTGCTCTGATGTGTCAGAGATCTAGCGGGTACTGGAATGCAGTGAGCGCTCCCAGAACAGCCCTAAAAAGCACCATTTGAATGACTGTGTAAATGTCAAGGCGAGTGATCTGTAAATTAACAAATCTGTGTATGTATGCTACAGTTAGCAACACAGTGATGAGCTCACCTAAACAAAACTCCCTAAGTATCAGATTAATCGTTATTTATCAAGACAAGAATACATGATGATGATGATGGTGAAAATAAATTTTTAAAAGGCAATTTTTCTGGGAAAAGAGTCAGCAAATAATATATCAGCTTTAGAGTAAAGAACTTGATAGACTCTTCCATACCTTTAACATCTGGATCATCAATGTGCGGCTCTAGATTTTCTATCATTTCTTCAAGTTCCTTTCTGGTGGCCATAGTGATATTTGAAGAACCTGGTACGGTGACTTCAGAGGTTTCTTCTGGTCTCTCTGGGCTGAGAGTATTCCCAGAGCCCTGCTCAAGCTCTATATCTAGATCTATTTCAGGAAGAGGAGTCCTCCAGAAATGGAAGGAGTTGTACAATTCCTGATCTAAGAGAGCTGAATCTGGTGAACTGGCGCCACCCTCTGGCCGTAATGCAGATTTGCAGTTAGCTGGCTTTTTATCATTCTCATTACTAGGGGCTTCCTGATGAGATTCTGAGGACAAAGTACAAAGTAAAGAGCTGTCCACTGGGACACTTATTTCACCTGGAGATTTCCTAGATGTTTCAGCATGATCTTCCACCATGTTTTCCAGTTTGACACTGGAATTACTAACACTGGGATCTGAAGAAACATCCTCTGGCCTGATCTGTACATCCTCTGGGACTTCTTGATCTCTGATCCTTTTATTGTTTCATTTGGGAAAAAAAAAAAATGAAAGTATAAAAATAATTACTGAAAAAAACTCAATGAAAGACACTACATAAAGTATTTACACAAGTTCAGTATTAAAATTTACAGATTATCCATACAAATTGAGTAGTGTATATACTGGTAATGCTTCTTTTTTCCATCAGTTGTTCTGTATTCATAGATGTAAACATCTGTTAAGCATAAGTCTAGATATTAACGCATTACATGAGTTGGAAAAGATAACATTGTAGAATCCCACGATTCTTAAAATACCAGGCTAATTTCAATAATAAAACTAAGGAAAAATTGTAGGAAGATAAATTCCTACAACGCACTTCAAAAATGATCTGATTCTTAGGATTATGGTATGGCCACTGCTCCAATGATGTATTGAAAAGCTGAGAATTAAAACCTATTTGCTTTTATAAAAAAGAAAAGGAAAAAAACCTCTGTACAGTATTAGAAAAGATTCTTATTTGCTGTCTCACAAAATATTAAAATCCATTTTAGTGTAAATGAAGTTTTTTTTATTTCTTCCACACTTTCCAGCTCTACTCCCAAAGGTTTTCCCAAAATAAAGTCATGACTTAATTGATAAGGACAGATGGCACAAGCTCCTAAATTAAAGTCCACTGATTACCACCATCCATTATCTAAACTAAAACACTACAGTAAGTTTTAATGTTTATCCCCTATATTTTATTTGACTCCATTAAATTTAACAGACATATATTGAGCACCTACTAGGAGCCAGGGAATGAGGCCACTATGGAGGATTCACATGTGAATGAGATGCAGGTCTGGTCAGGGAGATTAAATTAGAGGCAAATAGGAGAACCAAACATGTTAAGCAAGTAACCGCCAGACAGAGTGGTAAGTACAGAAGTATGCACACTGAGCACGGGAGGCGGGATGGAGTTGAAATGAAAAGGCCTAGAGGAAAATGACAGGAGCGGTATTTAGAAGAACCAGTAAATGCTTACGAGGCTAAGGGGAAGAACCACGTATTCAAGGGAGAAAAGGCATACGCAGAGGCAGGAGTGACATAAAACGTATAACATACTCTGCAAACAGCCATGAGTTTCTTATGGCTAAGAGAAGGAAATAGTGGGTGACCAGGGTGAAAAACTTTGCCAGAACCACCGTACTCCATACCCAACACCTCTGGAATTGATCCTATGGGCTACATGGAATAAGGCAGGAATTAGGAGAATTGCATTTTTAGATGCGTTATTTTTGAGAGAGCATCCTGGAAGCAGGGTAGAAAATGGGGCGGAGGTGAGATAGGAGGCGGGAACTCCGGATGGGCAGGGGGTGCCAGCAAGGACTTGGTGAATGAAGTCTACGAAGAAGTAAACACATCCAAATGATGACAGGACCAATAGGATCTGTTTACTTATTTACTGCATGCTGGAGATGGCAAACAAAGGGAGGAATCTGGAAAGACTGCCAAATTTCTGGCTAGCGCAACGGAAGAGATCGTGGTAGCACCAACTAAAAGTGGAAAACACAAGAACCGCGTAATGAGGCGGCTAATGAGTTCCGGTTTGGACAGGCTGAGTGCGGTACCTGGGTTGCATTCTGGGTGGGGATGTCCACCGGAAACCAGTCGGACACCAGGGATCGAGGTGGAGGTCATCAACTCAGAAGGACGTGTGCAGGGCTTAGATGGGGGCAAGGCAAGAAAGATGAACGGAAACACGAAAGACACACCGAGTAACAGAGTGAAGGCATTTTTCTCAGGATGCCTTAGAGAGAGAGGTCAGAAGAGGTGTAGGACCTGCAGGCACGGGCGACGAGGAAATCACTGATGGAGCACTGTCCTTCTAAGAAGAAAGAAGAACGTGAGCTCAAGAACAGGGGTGCACAGATTCAGTGGGTCAGGACACCCCTTTCATAAGAAACACGAGAGGAAAGTAAGGATGGGTGTGTAGGTAAATTTGAAAGTGAGTGTGGGAAAAAATTAAAGCTGCTCCCTGAAACAGTATGTGCCTTTAAATACAACAGGAGGCTTACCAGGACTGAGCAAATGGAAGGTGACATTAACACCTGTGTAATAGCCTAGTTAAGGAGCCACCGTTCATGTTCCCATGAAATTATCAACTTCCCTCTGATTATGCTTTATCTCATGGTAATGTTCACACTATTTTCAAAAATATGTATTTTTAAAAAACACACGATTACTTTAACATCTTGAAAAATATAGAAAAAGTATGTAAGAAGTCATCTGAAAACATATCACACAAGAGCATTTTGCTTCTGGTGTTTCCCTTCGATTCTTAGGACTATAAGATAGCGTGCACGCACGACAGAGTTGTTACACCTGTGGGAGAGCTGGGCCCCCCGTTCTCAGGTCCTTGTCCTACTGCCAGCACTGCATTCCCATAAACCTGTGAGTCTTTCAAGGCCCCCATGATTCCACACTTACTCCTTATTTATAAGGATGAGAGACTGGCTTAGACAACCTTTAAGATTCCTTCCCTCTCCAAAACAGTTCTTGGAGCTAGTGCTATTATGCCAAATAAATGTCTTCTATACAAATTACAGATTTTCCAATCATGTGGTCCTTATTAAAAGACATTTTTTCTTTTGTTTTAAAGAATTCAGTGGGATAATTGGTAAAATTTGAATAAGGGCTCTAGTTTAGATGACAGTATTTTATATCTATGTTAATTTCTTAATTTTGGTAATTGGACCATGGTTATGTATTAATGCCTGCATTCTGAGGAAGTACACAGTGAAATATTTAAGAAAGGGAAAAAGAATATGTCTGAAACCTCAAACTATTCAGAAAAGAAATCAGTAAAGCAAATATGGTAAAATGTTAACATCTGGAGAATCTGAAGGGCATATGGGATTCTCTGTGCTATTTTTGCAGTTTTTCTGACATGAAAACTAAATTTAAAAAATTATAGCAACAAGATATTGTTTGGTGGGAGTGGAGACCAAATGGGTTAAAACTTGTAAGACTTCATTATCTGATAAATTAAAAAACAAACAAACCTGCATTTAAAATACACAAAAAGAACCTAATTAAAAAGCCATTCAGAGGGCACCTGGGTGGCTCAGTGGGTTAAGCGTCCGACTCTCAAGTACAGCTCAGGTCATGCTCTCAGGGTCGCGAGATGGAGCCCCACCTTGGACTCCACACTGGGAGTGGAGACTGCTTAAGATTCTCTCTCTCTCCCTTTGCCCCACCGCCCCCAAACAAACAAACAACAGCAACAACAACAAAGGCCATTTAGTATGCAGAAGTATCCCATGGGCCTGAAATTCCTTGATTACTATTCTCACCATGCCATTAAGATTAAACTTTAATATTCTTAGGAAGAAAAAAAAAAAAAAAAGAATGGCTAAGTCATTCTATTTCCCTAATGTTACATTACTAGTCTGTCCAAACTTAAAACTCCAAGTATGGTTTCAAGGAGACAAAAAAAATTTCCCTACTGTTAAATTCTGGGAAGAATTACTACATGTATGAATAACAGTTGCTTTGAATTGTCAAGAATATAAATTATCTGAATACTGCTTTTTCCAAAAACTGGGAGCCAAATGCTATTATAAGAGCAAAAATCATTTTGAAAGCTGAGAAGACCTCTAATTCTGCAAAATGAGAGAATTACCCCATCTCCTAAGAGATGTAGGCAACAAGAGCACCAGGGTGAGCCAGGAACTTCTCTAACAGAACCTTAATTTTCCTTTAGTGTCTACATAAGTTTCCTATTAATACTCTCCGAGTTCTGGACTAGAGACTCTGGGCCTAGAAAAATAAGTACGTGTATTTCAGGAGAAAATGACCTGTGGCACATCTGGTTAAAGCAGCACTATGTCCTGACACAAAAGCAAGGAACATACATCTTTCCTGTACTGTGAATTAACTAAATGAAGTTTTCATATTACTGAAATACTTCCAAATTTGTACCAACAGCCATCAATTTTACTTCCACGCAGCTGGCATTACACTAAACTGACAAAAAGTGGCGTAAGTGGTGTAGCTCCTTAAGGCTTCTGAGATTGAAGATTTCCTTACAATTCATTCAAGGTTTACTATTTGCCAACTATGTGCCAGGCCCAGTGAAGGTGCTCTATACGCAAAAATTCATAACTCGACCACTACAGCAGATGGACTTGCAGTCGGCTGGCCTGAGCATATACGCAAATATACAATTGAAAAGATACGGATCAGAAATCCGTGCTCATATTCCAGCGCTGACAGCCAAGATGCAAAAGCTCTGAATTTCCCAAAAAACTCAGGAAAAGATTCATGGAGGTAGTGAGTCTAGAGACAGCAAACACGCTGACAATTCACTTTGTTAAATGGGTATGGATGGAACAGAACAGCTTCTTGAACAGAAAGCAAAGAGAACCAAAAGAACACAGTGCATTCAGAGAACAATATAATACAACAGTTGATCAACTAAGAAGAAAAGGGAATGCTTATTTTACATAATTTAAAAATGCAAATATGAATGTTTAACTCTGCTTCTGGAAGTAGCCTTTATTAACACCTTTCAAGAAGCATTAATAGCCTGATCTAGGGTGAAAGATAAATCCGGTATACAAAGTCAGAGGTTTAAAATCAATTAAGGCTTCAGAGTATTAAGTGACATTAAATGTTTCCAGGGTCAGATGAAAATATATAATAAATAGTAGTGGAAACAGACTGTCAAAAACTTGCTTACTTTGTAAGATATTTGTTTGAGAGATCTGAATTCTAGGAAAACTGAGAGGACCTTGAGAACAGGAACCGAGTTCTCGATTTCTATCTAAAGGAGCTGGTTCATAGTAGGTGCTCAATTAATTTCTGCATAATCAACCAATCTTAAATAACAAACAAGTTTTAAGACAGCTTAGAACAAAAGTCAGTGCAGTATTTAAGGGAGGGTAAACAAACTAATGGTTCTGAGATTAATAATACATAAGACTATTTTTTTTTGAAGTTAGGAAGTAAAACTACACAATGGTTTTAATGGTATTTAACACAACTCCTTCCTTAGCCAGAAATTCTCTCTTCCCTCCCCTCTACCATTAACACGATTCAATAAAGTCTAAAAACATAGTGAAAATCCAATGCTACAAACAGTTCTGACTTGACATTAAGACATACCTCATTACAATGGAAGAGGAGTTAAGGTTTGTAGGTAAAAGATAACTACCTTTAAATATCTCTTCCAGTAATGTCCTACATGGGCAGTCAGAACAACTACTGGCCATGGTAGCCACACCGACCATTTTTGTCAATAAAGTTTTATTGGAACACAGCCAAGCCCACCCACGTATGCACAGTCCATGGCTGCTTTCACGCTGCAGAGGCAGAGTAGGGCAGTTGTGGCAGAGACTGAAAATATTTATTATTTGGCCTTTTACAGAATGTTTGCTGACCCCTGACCTATACAATCCTCTGTAAATTTATATTTTCACTTACTAGACTTTCTCCAGATTTAAAAATAAATAAAAGTTACATCATATTCTTTGCACAATTACGTAGTGAACAAGGTATGCTGACTTTAAAAATGAAAAACAGGTAACATTTCCCCCCATCATCATTTTTGTCAAACTCCTTGCAGCAGCTGTTTTTCAAAAGAACTGACAGAATTTCCTTGCTAGGAAGACAGGTTTAGAGTGATTTTCTTCCTTTACAAAAAACAGTACCTCAGGTTTGTTTGGCTACTCAGCAGGACAGTAGGAGAACGGGCAAAAAGGTAAAACAAGGCAGCAGAGAAGAAAGAAGAACTGCCAAATCAAAACACCCAGAAAGCAAATACCACAGTATCAAGACCTACAGAAGAAAATGTCCATTAGCATCATGACAAGGGAGGGACAAGACACTACGGTAACTCAAGCATTACAGGAGGGACTGTTTAAAAAGCAGGTTCTAAATTATTTCAAGTGCACACCTGTAAAAGTGCGTATTTCCCACGGACTAAGTTAGGCTTGATTTTTTTCCCCCCTAAGTATATGGTATAATCAATTTTAAAAACAAAAACTCGAAATTTCTTAATGTAAAAAAATTTAAAAATAAAAATCAGAATTGTCCTTTTTATTTTAAAATTAGTTGCCCTATTACACTTAAAGTTGATATTTTAGTTAATAAGTACATTAATTTGGTGCTAATCATAATACTTTCCCCCTCGATTGAGAGATTATAATCGTCATTCTGCAGAGTTCAAGATCCACAATTAAAATAACTGACTGAAAGGAAAAGTAATAGTAAGAAATGGACTACATACTAAACAAACATACTCCTAAATTAGGTTTTACCCCTTAAAACACTAAACCCTTTAAATTGTATAACGATTACCTCATCTAAATGTCAATAGATGGTTTACTAGGTAACTAATTTATTCAATAAACGTTATTCAAAAATTACCATCATTATCTATCATTTATATTTTCTCTACGGCCGGCATCCAGCCCAGTGTGCTACATTCATCTTCATCTCCTCACTTCAGATGTAACTAACCAAAGAGACATTTAACAAATGTATTTAAAATATACCTCTTTAAAAACATTTACCAATTTTTACAATCAAGAGAAATAGCAAAGTCTCCAAAAAGAACATTTATTATAAAATAGAGGAAATGAAAAATACGTTCACAAGCAGTAAAAGCTGGAAAGTAAAGTTTAAAGAAATCATACCTATTTTTGTCTTCTACTGACGGATCTTCTGAGCTTTTGCTTTCTTCTTTAAAATACTGGCCTGAGCTAGACGGATTAGCAAAAGTAGATATGAAAGGTCCCAGAGACTGAAAAGCCGCTTGGCGAACCTAGAAAGAAAAAGAGAACAGTAATAAAACATAAAAATAAGGGATTATTATCAGTCTACTTTCCATTTACCCAAGTACAGATAAGATAGTAATAAGACAGTGTTTTCTAAAAAAACTTCCCGGATTCAGAACTATTAAATCATTCTTCTCCTAGGATTTAAAATTCTTTATATTTTCTCTTTTACTTTCGATTTTTAAAAATCTGTCTTGAATATTTAAACCATGAGAATATGAGTATGAGATCCCATAGAGCATCTGCATGGAACTAAAGGAAATCCTGCAGTGTTCTCAAGGAAAACCAAATGAAGAAAACCAAGATTGCCAAATAGAAAATATAGAGCAATAAAGTCGACAAAATGAGATACATCCATTTCATGTTTTCTGGTAGGAAAGACTGTAATTTGCTTACTACAAGGAAACAAGACAGATGTGCCAGAACTATGGATGCACTTATCAGAAACAGAATACTGACTTAAAATATATTTCACAAAAATCTGGATGCACATACTACTGTTATCCATGAATGTCTCAAGTAGGAGAGCTGAAAAAAAGGTTATAGAATTTTATTTCATACTGTATTCTTGTATTATTTTTGTAATCTTGGTGACAAAAAAAAAATTGGGGGAGAGAGGTTTTATGAAAGGAAGCCGAAGGGCGGACACAATCTGGAAGAGGCAACTATGATGGGAGAAGCCACAAACCAATTTCTCTAAGACCCTGCCCTTGAGGCATAACAATACCTTTTCTATGGTTTAAAATGAAGATTACATGACACGTGTAAATTCTGCAGAGGCAAATACATGTGAAGCAGGCCTATTACTAGTATTTACCCTCTGGGGGAAGCAGATACAAAACGATTCAATTGGTTTAAAAAAAAAAAAAAAGGCCAGAATTATATATAAGATAGCAATAAGAAGCCTATGTGAGAACTTACAGGTTGTTTTCTCCTCTACAGCCGTCATGTTACCTCCATAAAAACATAAAAGGTAACTTTTAAAATTATATGCGTGAGTTTTAGTCTACTCTGGATACTGTTAAAACTCTGTCTCAAACAGTTACAGGATTTACATATACCTCAAATGAAAGATTTAAGGAGTCCTTCATTTTATATAAACATATTCCCAAATTAGCAGGAAATACTGTATATCATTGAGCCAAGACAATGATAAAGTCTCAAAATGAAAACTTTAATAAAGCTACATAATCTTTTCGAACAATCTTATACATTTTAAACAACATTAAAGTCGTGCTATGGCTTAACAGTCTTTCCTCTTTGTAGAATCTGTTTGGAAAATGAGTATGGTTAAGGTCCTGAGATCTACTTCAGGCATGACAGCATAAGGAGCGCCACTGACCCACTCTCCAGTGAAATCGTTGAAAATGGAAAAAACAAAAATGAAACAAAACCCCAAAACCCCACCAATTAAAACCTCTGCAAATAGTCCTAAGGGCAGGCAAACAACAAAAGAAGGAATAGCTATAAATATTCAGTAAAAGAACGCTGAGAGTCTGTGGTATTTGAACCAGGGAGGCAGAACCTCTACTCCCGACTGCTGCAGCCAACAACACTGGCCTCCCTCTCTTCTAGCTTCCAGCCAGAGGGCTTTCAATGTTTTCCATCCTGCCCCCAGCCACCTGTTGGGCGTCCCTTCTTCTACACAATGCCCACTGGTAGAATGGAAGCTCTACCTTAGACGTGGCTTAGAACACTGGGCCCTGAGAATACTCAGAATACAGTCCCTGCCCCCCAGCTTATAAGGCCAGGATAGATGAGCCTGGGGAACGTGGGGCTGCTGTCCCTCCTACTCCCATCAAAATGGGGTCATCCCAGGATGGGATATAGGCACGTAGGCAGGCCCAAAGCTGTGGCTCCTGGAGGGGGAAGTAAAGTCCACTAACACATTCTAGCCAGTCACTAAACAAGCAAGCAACAGTAACAAGTCCCAGAAAGGGATTCAAGTACCCAAATCTGCTGTATTAACTAAAATGACCAGTTTAAACGAAATTTTTAAGGCATGCCAAGGAACAAAACAGTATGATCCACAGACTGGAGAAAAACTTAAGGAACAGAAACTATGTGTGAGAACACTAAGATGTTGGACTTAGAAAAAAACTTCAAGGTGACCATTATAAATTGTTCACAGAACAAAAGGAGAGCATGAGTCAAGTAAAGGAAGGAATGAGGACGGTGTCATATCAAACATAAGTTAATGAAGAGAACCAGATGGAAATTCTGGAGTTGAAGAGTATAATAACTGAAATAAAAACTAACCACATAAACTTAAGTAGATCTGAACTGGTAGAAAAAAAGAATTAGGGAACTCAAGGTATGTTAATATAGATTAAGCAAAGAACAGAGAGAAAAAAGAAAATGAGGAAAAATGAACAGAATCTTGGAAAATGTGGGACTCCATTCAGTGCACCATCATATGTGTAATGGGAATACCAGAAGGAGGGAAAAGACACTATTTGAAGAAATGATGGCTCAAAATGTCCCAAATTTATTAAAAATCAATAATCTACACATAAAGAAACTCAACAAATAGGATAAACTAAAAGAGATCTAAAAATGCCAAAAGTCAAAAGCAAGAAGAAAATCTTGAAAGCAGCAAAAGGAAAGTGTCATATCACTCACAAGAGAACCCCAATAAAATAAACCTAACTTCCTACAAAAACAAGTGGAGGGCTGTGGGGAAGACACAAAGTGCTTGAAGAAATTAAAAAAAAAAAAACAAAAAACACCAAAACTGTTAACCAAGAGTTCTATATCCAACAAAGCTATTTTCAAAAAAAAAATGAAAGCAAAATAAAGACACACCCAGATAAACAGAAACAGAATGCTGCTACCAAATTTACATGACAATAAATGCAAAAGGAAGCTCTTCAGGTTGAAAGTCAGTTACCCTGGATGGTAACTCAAAAGAAAGAAGGATGATCTCAAACTGCTAACTTAATCTTCCACCTCAAGACCCTGGAAAAATAAGAGCAAACTAAACCAAAAGCAAGCAGGAGAGAGGGTATAATATAGATTAGAGTGGAAGTTAATGAAATAGAGAACAGAAATATAGAGAAAATCGGTGAAACTAAAGCTTTAAAAAGATGAACGAAACAGACAAAACTTGAGCAGACTGGCCAAGAAACAAAGAGACAAGAGTCAAATTACTAGAACCAGAAAGAAAGGACATTACTATTGACGTTACAGAAATACCAAGATTATGAAGAAAATACTATGGTCATATACCAGCAAATTAGATAACTTACATGAAACAAATTCCTAGACAAACCACTAAAACTGACTCAAGAAGAAATAATCTGAATAACTCTGTAACAAGTGAAGCTTATCTGAATAGCCCTATAACAAGTGAAGAGATTAGTAAACAAAAACCAAAAAAAACTACACACAAAGGAAAGTCCAAACTGAGACGGCATCACTGCTGAATTCTACTGAACATTTAGAAGAGAACACCAATTCTTCACAAATTCTCCCAAAAAAAGAGGAGGGAGCCCTTCCCAACTTGTTTTATGAGGACATTATTACCTTGTCAACAAAACACAAAAAAAAAGCCATTGCAAGGAAGCTATAGACCATTATCTCTTATAATATGGATATAAAAACCCCTAACAAAATAGTAGCAAACAGTCCAGCAACATATCAAAAATTATTACACTATGGCCAGGTGAGACTTATTGAAGGTTTAACACCTGAAAATCAATATGCCACATCATATCCTTAGAATGAAAACATGATTTCTATTTGTACAGAAATTCTGTCCAGTTAAAAAAAAAAAAAAAAGTTAATACAGTAGTTTGCCTACTGTCTACTCCTAAAAGGATTAACAATAACATACTTTGATAAACTGTTTCTTAAATCATGAAATCAAAATGTTTCGTGTAAAATGTATTATTTTACAAAAATGATAATTAGACAAAACCCTACCCAACGTGAAGGATCACTGATCAAATTAATAAACAGTGCTGACAATTTAGTCCGTCGGATTTCTTGACATGTCGCACAGGAAACGGCCATGAAACATTCAGCACAAGCCTTCCGGACTCCCCACACGTTATCAGAACAAAGCTGGAAAAACCTGGGCAGCTACGCAAGGACAGTGGTGTGTTAGGCAGACGACACAGGTTTCAGTGGTTCATTTTATTTCATTTTCTGCTTTCACAGTGTTTCAAAATACTAGATTTTCCTATAACAATTTAGAAGATCTGTTTCGTATTAAAATTGAGTAATTTGAAATAAATCACACCTAATTCACAGCACTGCTGACTGGAAAAGTAGAAACAACAAATACAGCTTAAATGTTACGCAAAAGCTTGTACCTACTGTTTTGCCTAATGGATGACTTCAGAAACTCTTCCAGTATGTTAACTGGTACACAAAGCATGTATATCCCCATGCACTATTTAAAAATAACAAGCTGTAGATTTGTCACTAGAATACTTGAGAGTTGCAATAAAATTACAGATTTCTTCGAGTAAGAATTGATTTAATAGAAGTGGGAGAGGTAAAAATAAATCAATGGTCCTTACACATCACATACCTGCATTTTTAACAAACTATAATCAAAACACAATCCAAGTGCCTAGAGTATAGAAATGTGAACTCCCAAACTCAGTCATATTATCTTTCTAGTTCACATTCATGAGACTGTGTTAATAAAATTGGGGGGTAAATGTATGCATTTTAAACTTTATGTATTACTCTGTAATGTACTGCTTACTCCTTTATTACCCCTTTATGTCTGCAATACTTACCAACATCTCCTCAGTAGCTTGCTGGCCAACTACACTGCAAATATCTCCAAAATTGGCGGCACAGACCTGACAACAAAAGCATCACTGACATTTCAAAAATCTTACATACACAGTGCTTTTAAAATAATCTTTTAAGTTTCACATATCAATACAGTAACCACTAAAACCATGTGTTCTTAAACAAACAAAAATGCCTAAAAAATACCTTTCGAACATGAAACATTCTGCAATCACAGCACATCTCACAAAACCTAGGGAGGATAAGACGCTCTGTAATGTCCTTCCCAACCATGGGAGCCATTTTGCACATTATCTAAAATGGATAAGAACAAAAGCACACTGAAAACATCTTCAAACTAAGACCGTTCCAGTTAAGTTTGCTAACTTATTAGAAGTATATACTTTAGGAAATATAAAATAGGTCATGGCATCCTTATACTGCACAAAAAACATTCATCTTATTTATTCAGGTTCAAGGCAGAAAAATAGATATTTACTACTACCAATAAAATCAACCAATAATTACTAAATAATTATTTATGCACAGTAAACCCAGAGAAAATCTGAAAAATTTCATTTGACTATAGTTTCAATCTTATTAATCATTTTGCCTGATAACTTTAAAAGTAAACCTCCCCCACCCAAATTTTCCCAGTAAGAAAACAAATGGTCACTGTTCAAAGGAAAGATTATTCACAAGAAGAATTTGGGTTTAGTATATTTGTACTGCTAAGAAAAGACACTCTAGAGGCAGTCCTTACCTTGCAAAGTACCGTGTTAACAGAAACTCGTGCGTAAGAGAACTGTGTCCCTTGGTTCTAAGGGAGGCAAGGACCCAGTTCCAACATGCACAGTTTCAGGTAACGCAGTCCCAGGCAAACAAGGATGAACTATGTTTGAAAACCAGCCCAATGCCATTTAAATAAATCCCTCCCCCCCCAGTTAGTACAGAAAGAAATCTGATGGTCTTTTATTATCACACCTACTCCTGGCCCATACAAACATAATTAGAAGTAAAAGGAATAGAGATTGCAAAGAAAGAAAAAACTATTCATACAGGATATGATTGTCTACATAGAAAAATTTCAAGGACTCTGCAAAGAAGTCACTAGAACAAATAAGTGAGCTTAGAAGTTTTCAGGACATATGTCAGAACCAAAAATCAAACGTATTCCTATAAATTAGCAATGAAATGAAAACATTTAAAAACAGTATCATTCACAAAAATGTTAAGAAACATAGTTCAACAAAATATATATGTACTCTGTCTACTGAAAACTACAAAACATTGATGAGAAACATAAAACGCCTAAATAAATGGAGCGATCTATCGTACTAATGGATTGTTAGGTGGGTGACTATCTCCAAACTGATCTATAGATTCAACATAATCCCTATCAAAATCTCAGCATCCTCAGAACTGGAGATAACATCTGTATCTCCCAAATCCCAAAGCCAGTTTTGTTCTTTGACTCTGTACTGTTTCTAAGCATTTTCAAGCCCTAAAGATCCAAAGTTATATACTGTATCACTGATCTAACATAATGAAACTCATCAGAATGAATTATCTCCAAGATAGAGAACAACGAGGAAGCCAGGGTGTGCAAAGCATGATAAAATAAATAAGGCGACTACAAAAGAATCATGGGTTTCATACCAGCGCTGGATATAGTCTCTCTACTACAACTGTAATGTTTCACTATTGTTAAATCCTATAAAAATAATAGAGCAAGTTAAACTCTGCTCAGTTATGCAAAAACTGATTTCCTTCACTGAGAAACTTGTGAAATAAAAAAAAAAAATCTGCATTTTGGGAGGTGACAGAGGTGCTGATTGTACAACATGGTGAATGTACTAAATGCTAACTTAATTGTACACTTTAAAATGGTTTTTCATTATGTGAATTTCACTTCAATAAAAATGATATTACTGAAAAGTATCTAAATTTATTATTATTTTTTAAAGATTTTATTTATTTATCTGACAGAGAGATAGCATAGGTACGCAGAGCGGCAGGCAGAGGGAGAGGGAGAAGCAGGCTCTCTGCTGAGCAGGGAGCCGGATGTGGGGCTCGATCCCAGGACCCCAGGATCATGACCCGAGCCAAAGGCAGCCGCTTAACTGACTGAGCCACCCAGGCGCCCCTAAATTTATTATTAACTGGTATGGAGTATCTAAAAAATAATGGAATCAAGAAATCTCCAAGGGAAAGGGGACTAGAGAGATGACCTAATTCATCCTAATGATCCAGAAACACTATCCAATTTTTGTATAATTCTTTTCTTATCAACAAAGATGCTATTATTTTAGGGTTTCTATTTTATTTTTAAGTAATCTCTACACCCAACACAGGGCTCGAACCCCAACCCCGAGATCAAGAGTCGCACACTCCACAACTGAGCCAGCCAGGCGCCCCTATTTTAGGTTTAAATAGTAAACTCTCACTATCCAAGTACATTTGAATTTTTAGATGGATTTATTATACCAGACTTTGTTACACGCATGATTTAATCCATGTGTTTTTCTTATAATCACAATTTCTATAACATGTCATATATCATTATAATAAAATTAGTTGCCTGATTATCCTTCCCCCAAAGCACACTGTCAAGGGCAGAAGCTATTTTTTTTCCTCTGTGCTTACATAGTGCTGAGAAAAGTGTTCAACAGCAACTGAAGTTTCACAAACGTTTCTTCACCCAATACAGGGTTTTTGTGTTTTTTGTTATAACTGCACTGATTATTTCTCCCATCTTCTTTTTCCATAATAATGAACTTAGTTACTTATTATTTTCTTGCTGCATATCTTGCTTTCTCAGAGCCCAGTGATAGAGCCATCTAATTCACGGGTGCAAAGCATAACATGGGGCCTATCGAACACAGACCTTTTTTGTGTGCCTATGTCCCTTTCTAGCCCTTTCTAATGATTTGTGGCTACTTTGATACCTAATACGTACAAACTCCATAGCACATAATATTTGAGCACCTACTATTTGTCAATACAGTGACTAATGTTTGCCTGAACAGAAAAAGCGCCTTCTACTTACAGCCACAGCTTCTGTTTTCACATCATCGTTGCTATCTGGGGCAGTTAGCTCTATGAGGACGGGGCACACTTTGGTCTCCACATCAAATCGCTCAATTAACTCCTGCTCCAGCAGAGCCAGCAAAGCTGCCTGACTTGTTTTTCTTACCTAGGAAAAAAATCAGCAGTATAAACAAAGTACATACATGATATAACAAAACTCTATTACTTGATTTTCACAATATTGAAGACTTTTTATCTCAACTTAAAGGGATTCATAACTGGCAAAACCTTGCAAATAAAAACTTGTCGCCATTTTCTCCAGCTACTGCAAAGACAGAACTTGGTAGATTGTGATACGACAAATGTAATGGAACAGAAAAGCCATCCTTGTGGGGCACCTGGGTGGCTCAGTCAGTCGGGCACCCGACCCTTGATTCCAGCTCAGGTCATGATCTCAGGGTCCGGGATTGAGCCCTGCGTTTGGTACCCGACTCAGTGGAGAGTCTGCTTCTCTCCCTCTCCCTTACCTCCCGGCTCGCATGCTCTCATGCATGCAAAAGAAAAGCCATCCTTGTGAAAGGTGACTCCCAAATTACCAAACTTTCTGAGGGACACCCATGAGGGTACCATGTTCTCACATGCAGCTACTGGGCATCATCTTGTAACGGCATTAAGGAGACGTCCTAGATTTGCCAGACTCTCAACATATCTTGTCTAAGACACGTGGTCATTTTGAAAAACAGAGTAATGAAGTTGAAGAGGAAAAAACACTCAAATGAGACCAGCTAGGGGAGGCCATTCTACATACATCATACTACATGCATTTCCAGTAAGAACCTGTAAATGGCACTCTTACCTGATTATTCTGATCTGCGAGATATCTAACCACAATAGGTAGTAAGTATTTGGAAAAAGCATACGGGATTGAAGGCCGGTTTTCTTGACAAAACAATGCAATATGAGGCACCTGTTCCATCAGCTCTGCTCTCACGGTTGGTTCTATTGAAATAACAGAAATGTGAGCAAACACATTCTCCCACGGTAACAAAATCTTTGCCTGGGCTTAAGACTATTTAGGAAAGCTTTGGACTTCCATCCTTGGCATAAAAAGGACTTACACAATGTTCTCTAACTCTAGGAACCTTTTCACAATCATACGCAGGTCAATCCCATGAGTAAAAGGAAGACTCTACTCCCATCCCAGGCTTCTATCTTCCTACTGTGTACCAAGTATGCAATCATTTCCTATTATGACCAAATTTATCCATCACCTACATTGTGTCACATATGTTAGGGGTTAAATATCCAATATTCACATCAATAAAATATGTATTATCTATGAACTATTAAAGAGCCTCCTGGGACTATTTAAGAGCCTCATAAGGACCGGTTCCTAAGTTAAATTTAATCAATGAGTAAGAATTCATGGATAAAATTAAGACTAAAATGGTAAGTGACCATTAAAGTAGACCAATCAAGTTAAAGAAACAAAAAAAATCTGAAAAGACCCAAGTATGTACAGCAAATTTCAGTATGACAAACACATCATTTCAAATCTCTGGGTTTCAAAAGGATGAACTGCCTAAGAGTAATGGCAGGAGAATAAGATATGTGATAAAAAGAAGATTCCTATCCTGCACATCATAAATGAATTCTAAGTGAAAGTTCCAAACTGTTTTTAAAAATGAAAAGCACTAAAAGACATTAAAAAAAAAGAGTTTAATCTTAAGAAGCCCTTCCAAGGCAAACAAAACCCCAACACCAACTTAGAGACCAACTAATCTTACTTTATAAAGCCACCATTATAGACAACAGGTACCGCACTCAGTTAAAAGGCAAACCAGCCTGGGAGAAAATACACATATAACAAAGTATTAATAACTAAATATACAAAGAACCCATTGTTCAAATGAACACAAGAAAGAAAATAAGGATACGGACAAGCAATTCTCAGGAGAAATGCAAGTGACTAAGACACATATAGACATGATGGATTATCAATACAATTCATTACATCAGACCTAATTAGAACTTCGGTATTAATGATTGTATCATTACAGTTACTTTAAGGTAAATATACATGCATGGGTCCGGAGGAACTTTAAATTTCAACAAACAGAAATTAATGAAACTATCAGCAGAAAATGTACTAGCATCTTACAAAGCTAAGAATCTTATCAACAAACCAATATTTGGAATTTCTATTACATGGCTCTGCCATGTGAAGTTAGACAGTAATTGAACAAAATAGTGCTTCTGTTTTGAAAAATACTTAGTTTAAAAAAAAAAAAGACATAGGCCTCTCCTTTTCCTCATTGACCCTGAATTTGCTAACACTGACCTAATATATATATTTTTGAAGCAAAAGAAGGATACAAGTTACAGTTCTGGTTAAGAATGAAATCAGTAGGGGTGCCTGGGTGGCTCAGTCAGTTGGGCGTCTGCCTTTGGCTCAGGTCATGATCTTAGGGATCGAGCCCCATGTCAGGCTTCTTGCTCAGCTGGGAGTCTGCTTCTCCCTCTCCCTCTGCCCCTCCCCACCCCTCATTCTCTCTCTCTCAAATAAATAAAATCTTAAAAAAAAAAAAAAAAAGAATGAAATCAGTAACTTCTCTTTCTTCAAAGTCATGCTTAGGCAAAAAAAAAAAACAAAAACAATGGAACAAAACAGAGTCAAGAAATGAATGAACTGTGAGTCGTCTGGGAGGAACTGAAGTGCTGGGGAGGGATTTCAGAGCTACTATGATGGCTGAAGGGAATGAAGGAAGAAAGGGGAGTTGAGCCTAATGTCTCTTAACTTGGTGGGCTGGGCGGATCATGACTACTGAAAAATATACCGCTGCAAAATTAATGCATATATTTTAGTGTCCTAAGCAAAGAGCTCAGAACCTTAAAATCTCTCATCTGCCTATTCCTTATCAACATTTACCTTGATTTCTTTATTCCCCTAAAGTTGTTATTCATATTTTTAGGATTTTATATAGCAAATGCTTGTTTAGATTTACTACTAATTTAGTTTTTTTTCCCTTATCAGTACATCTTTCATCCAAATCTTTTCTGGTTCAATTAAAAAAAAATCTATAAATGGAGTTACACACCAACAACCTGATAAGCTTCAGAAGTATAAAGAAGCTAGACACAAAAGAACATACTCAGTATGATTCCATATAAAGTTCAGAGGAGCAAACTAATCTAAACACTTAGCAGTCAAAACATGGATTACCTTGGGGAAGAAGAGGACAGATATGAGGAGGTGCCCCGAAATGGATTCCGGGATGCTAGTTCTATCTCCTGTTCTGAGTACTAATTACATTGGTCTTCATTTCGCTTTACTTCATGGAGCTGAAAATTTATAGTCCATGTACTTTTTGTAGTGTAGTTTTATTCAATATTCAAGGAACAGAGTTCCCCAACAAGTAAGTGTTCCTGTTGCCCATCTATGTCACCAAGTCTGTGCATACTGGTACATTACTGTTCTCTATCACAAAAACGTACTCTAGCATGGCACAGTATAAACCCCTACAATCTACACCTCGACTGCCTTATCGAACTGCCTCATTATTTTAAACTGTAGACTCAGCAAACTACCTGTTGACCAAATGTGGCGCTATCTTGAACTCCTTAAACCTCTAAACCAGTCTTTTCTTCTCCTGAGTATGCTCCTTTCCTTCTCTGTACCTCATCATTCTATTAAATTCAACTCAATGTCACTAATTTCCTGAAATCGGCATCAATGCTCCCCATTATAATGTATTGTTTATAAGTTAGCTGCATTCATTAAATTGTTAATTTGATGACAGGAATTCTTATTCACCTTAGTAACTGTTCTAGCATCTATTCTAGAATCTGGCATAGGACTGTGCACTGTGTTACTTTTACCAAATGAACGAAAAATGTAAATGTCAATAGAGATATTTATCTTGAACTCAACAACTTGAGAATGTATTTTTTTAAAAATCTACAGCTGACCCTTGAACTAAGGGGGCTGGGGCACTGATCCCTCCCTGTGCAGTAGAAAATCCACATATAACTTTTGACACCCCCAAAACCTGACTACTACTAGCCTACTGTTGACTGGAAGCCTTACCAATAACAAACAGTTGATTAACACATATTTTTATCTTAGATGTACTGTATACTGTATGCTTACAATAAAGTAAGCTGGCGAAAAGAAAGAAAAAATCATAAGGAAAATGCATTTATAGTACTGTATTCATCAAAAAAAATCTGTATCAATAGATCTGCACAGTTCAAACCCATGTTCAAGGGTCAACTACATATACCTACATATATTTATAAAAACAAGCACAATAGGTGGCAAACAGGTAAAAGAAAATAAACACAAATTCCTCCCTAAAGAGTATCTATTCTACTAAGAAAGGAATAAATAACCATAATGCAAAAAATAAATAAGTGAAAATTGTAATTGATGAGCTTCTCCTAAAACCATTCTGGAACAAGCATATACACATAAGCAAGTACATACATCATCATTAGACAGATTATTTGTAAGCTTACCAATTTTTTTCTACCCTATAGGAAAATAAAAAACACTTAAGGCTTATATAAATAGAACATATTCCCATAAAACAAATTGCTCACCAAAAGATGAGCCCATCTAAAAATTAAAAAATGAGACTGCTTACATACAAAAGAATTTGTTAAAAAGTGAAAAACAGGGGCGCCTGGGTGGCTCAGTTGTTAAGCATCTGCCTTCGGCTCAGGTCATGATCCCAGGGTCCTGGGATCGAGCCCCGCACTGGGCTCTTTGCTCGGTGGGAAGCCTGCTTCTCCCTCTCCCACTCCCCCTGCTTGTGTTCCCCCTCTCGCTGTCTCTCTCTGTCAAATAAATAAAATCTAAAAAAAATTAAAAAAAATAAAAAAAGTGAAAAATAACACATTTTAATAGAGACAATGGGTTTAAGAAAAAATATATTTTTGAATTGTTTCTAAAATAAAAAATAAAGATATACATATGACTTAAGATTAGGTTAAAATGGTAAGTTGTATGTTATGCATATTTTGCCTCAAGAAAAAAATATTTTTAAAAAACTTAAAAGAACCATATTCCAAGCCTGAAGTCAGGTTGATCTCTTTTGTAAGCAGACCCTCCTATCTTCGCTTTGGAGACAAAACACTCTAGTTTTATCATGACTGGTTCACATTTTTCACAAGTGAGAAAGCATAGGAAAAGGAAGCATTTTATATTTGCTTAAAAAAACAGCCCACTCCCTCGCTTTTTTTATTCAAAATTATTTTTAAGTTTTTAGTAATCCTAAAATATTAACATACATGATGCAAAAACAATTTTTAGATTTTTCTGATGAGAAATTTCCAAAATTAAACTAAACAGACCAACTACAAAATGTGGCTCTTAGAAAGGTTTTTCTTCTTACCGATGTATTTGGTAATTAGGAAATCTTTTAAAGAAGTCTCATATCACACTAAGTTTTTCATTAGTTTTTAAAACCTCAAATTTGGTAAAAGAAACCTTTCTCTGCATAAGCATATACCTGAATCGTCAGCTAATCTGCTAATTCTTTCCAAAACAGCAATGCAATCTCTTTCATCATCGCAGACTTCCCTCAACGTGTCCAGCAAACTCCGGGCCACCATTTGTCTAACAGAAAAAGAAAATGATATAGTGTTTAGTGGTGTTAATAAGTAATATTTAGAATTCCAAAAGGTAGAATCTACATGGTTTTAAAGAATTTCTTAATACATTTTATAACATACATTAAGTCACTAATTTCCTAAGTGACAAATGCCAGTATGGATTTTATTGTAACAGGATGAGACTGAATATTTACCAAAATATTTTTCATCTTTAACTGAAGTGACAAATTTTTAAGGTCACTGAAAATTCTATAAAATTTCCAACAGTTACCTTCAACTATCAAATAATAGGAAAATACACATATTCTTCATTATATATCTTCAGTATATACAAATACACACATTCATTTTTACTAAGTGAGTTTTATACATCTATACTCAAAAAATTTAAGACTCAGATTTCCCAGAAAACTGATACAGGTATTCTGGGGACCACAGCTGGAGAAATAATGCATTAGGAAGAGTGTCCCAGTCCCCTTAAATGTAGGTATACAACATCATTTGTTGAAAGAATAATATACCCCCCTCAGTAATCACTTTACACAAATATCAAAATTATGCCTAAGAGCAAAAAAGTAACGGTGTTTTGTTTTTGTTTGTTTTTTGCCAAAAAGCAAAGAAAGAGTGCCACATGCTTACTAGGATCAAGGAGTAAACAATTATAAAAGAGGCCTTGGCTGTGATTATTAACAAAACATGTTGACTGAGACTACACATGTTAATACTACTTTAAACTGGAAAACTGGATTTTCCCTATGAAAATGAACGTAATAATTAATCATTCCACTTCCACAAGGAAAAAAATATGCACATACCTGTTAAATACGTTCTCACTTGCAGCATACTTGTCCAATCTCCCCAGTGGCGTCAACATTTCATCTTGTGAGACAAAGTCCAGGGCTGAAGGTATAATAATCACATCAGACTCTGAGCTGTAGTCATCCACACCAACTATCAGAGACATCAGAAATACTCCTTATAACACTTTGAAACTAAAAAGTACCCCTTGCCTGTCTGAAGCAGGATAAGTAAGACTGCCTTTAATGTTTCTGGAGTGGTATAAAGGATCATGAGAAACTCTTATATCAACTGAGAAGCCATGAATGACTCAAGGATGCTCCCTCTCCTTTTTCTACAGATATGTCTAGTTGTCTCTAGAAACACAGCGGTCAGAGGCTCCAGAAACTCAGCATGGGGTGATTACTGAGAACTTAACATGTTCAATCAGAACACTAACAATGTGTAAATAAATAAAACGTCAAACACTGGTAAAGTAAATTCTGAAATGCAGTCAGAATAACTCACATTATAAGCAAAAGAACAAATGTAAGAGTTACAGCAGACTTCTCATCAGAAACAATATAAGCCAAGAGAGTAGAGCATTCCTTAAAGTACTAAAAGGAAAAAACACACACACACACACACACAAAAACAATGTCAACCTACAACTCTACACCCAGTAAATAAACATCTTTAAAGTATCTCTGAAATTCGTATCTTTCAAATACAAAGATTTCAGACACACAAAAGCTGACAGACATCATCACCAGCAAACGTGCACTACAAGAAATATTAAAGTCCTTCAAGCAAAAAGAAAATTTTACCAATTGGAAATCTAGATCTATACAAAGGAATGAAGAGCAGTAGAAATGGTAAATATGTGGGTAAATACAAAGATTTTTCTCATTTAAAAGTCTCTTTGAAAGATAATTAAGGTAAAAATATGGACTGCAAAAAAAAAAAAAAAGACAAAAAATGTACTGTGGGGACTCTTAACTAGAATGAACAAACTGATGGTCACCAGAAGAGAGGTGGGTGGGGGGATGGGTGAAATAGGTGATGGGGATTAAGGGGGGCACTTGTGATGAGCACCAGATGTTGTATGGAAGTGTTGAATCACTATATTGTACATCTGAAACTAAATACACTGCATGCCAACTTGAATTTAAATAAAAACTTTAAAAAAATGTACTTTAATCAAGCTCCCTGCTCAGCAGGGAGTCTGCTTCTCCCTCTGACCTTCCCCCCCTCTCATGCTCTCTCTCTACCATTCTCCCTCTCAATAAATAAATAAATCTTTAAAAAAATGTACTTTGGGTTTCTAACTTACATAGAAGTTAAAATATATGACTATAACAGCACAAAGGTAGGAAAAGGGCAAAGTACACTGTCCTAAAGTTCTTACACCGTATGTGAAGAGATGCATATTATTTGAAGGCAGACTGTTAAAAGATGTATACTAATTATAAACTCTACAGTAGCCATTAAACATCAAAAAAAAACCCCACCAAAGATATATGGCTAGTATGCCAATAAAGGCCATAAAATGGAATGATAAAAAAAAAAAAAATACTCAATCCAAAAGGCAGAAAAAGAGGATAAAAGGAGACACAGAACATGGGGCGCCTGGGTGGCTCAGATGGTTGGGCGACTGCCTTCGGCTCAGGTCATGATCCCAGAGTTCTGGGATCGAGTCCCACATCAGGCTCCCAGCTCAGTGGGAAGCCGGCTTCTCTCTCTGACCCTCTCCCCTCTCATGCTGTTTCCCTCTCTCTCTCTCTCTCAAATAAATAAAATCTTTCAAAAAAATTAAAAAAAAAGAAGAGATAGGACAAGCAGAAGAGAAATAGCAAGATGTGAGATTTAAACCCAACAATATCAATAACCATGCTGAGCACAAATAGTCTCAATACCCCAATTAAAAGGCAGAGATTTTCAAACTGGATTAAAAATAACACCTAACATTAAAATAATTATTTATATAGTACAAATTTTACACAGTTTATGCTGATCTACGATTCATAGCAAAGTATTTATTTTGAATCAGAAAGTTGTAAAAACCTCTCAGACGCTCTCATTTGGCCTCTGTTTTCTCTTTCTAGCACAGGACTGTTGAGCTAGCATGACCTCAAAGGCACCTTTATGCAGGCTCTAGAATTCTATGACTATGACCAAACTGTTTCATCAGTCTCATACTTGTTAATCTTAAAGATAACCATTAAAAACATGATTCTGGTCCTTAGGGAGCCAGGAGTCCTAGAGCGGCGACCGTTCAACATTGCCGTGTACAAGGCAAGCTTGGAGCACTTCCTCTAAATGCAGACTGCCAAGTCGCATATTCAAATACTGCTTATGTAGGTTTGGAGTGAGCCCCGGGAGCACTCATTTTTAATAAATACCCCTACTAATTCAAATGCAGATTGCTGAACAACCGTATTTAAGAAATATACTGTTAGAGGGCAGCAAAATCGTATTGTGCTTCAACTTCGGACACCACTCTATCCATCACGGTTGACAATTACTTCTTTACAAAAGACGGTGTTCCATTCTGCCACAGACACTGGTGACAAAGCTTCACTTCTATTTCCCATAACTGTTGCCTCCTGCCAGTATCTGTGGAATCACTCTGGCCTGAACCCTCCTTTCTGAATTCAAGATTTCTTTATCAATTCTTGATTGGACTAATGCAGCTCTGGATCTCATCTTTATGGAGGCCACAAGAATTTGGTTACCATAGTTACAGACTGCACACTTAGGTTTTACCCAGTCATCCTGCAAATGTCTGGCACAGGTTACAAAAAAGAGAAATAAGAAAATAATCAACAAAAAAGACTATTACCACTAATGAAAAAATCCTACCGTGTATACTGAGTGATGGTACAGTAAATAACATCCTCTGATAAAACAGACAACACAGAGGTAGTAAATGTAGCTGTGCTGTTATAGTTTATGCAAAGTAGAACACTAAATAGATTATGAGAAATTAAAGATAGAAATTATAATCCTTATGAGCATTCTCTAAAACATGTAAGAAAGAAGAGCTAGGAAGCCAATGGGGGAATTAAAATGAATACTAAAAAATATCATTAACCCAAAAGAAAGTCAGGAAAAAAGCAACAGAGGGAAAAAAAAGAGACAGAAAAAAAACAGACCTAAATCCAACCAGATCAATAATTACATTACATACAAGTGGACTAAACATTTAAAAGCAGAGATCCCCAACTAACAAAAAAGTAACACCCAACTATAGCCTATCCACCAGAGAGAGAGTTTTAAAGCCAAAATTTCAATCAGTAGGTTGAAAAAAAAAAAGAATTTTTTTAGAAAAGATAAAACATGAAACAGTAAGCCTAAGAAAGCCAAAGTGGTGATATTATGATTAGACAAAAGAGACACAGACAAGGACTATTACTGCAGATGAAGGGAGACATTTCATGCCTCCATACCCCACCAGAGCGCTTTCTTTCTGGAGAACTAAAGTTTATGGATTCTTGGACACTATGGCAGCAATAGCCTTTTAGGGCTTCAAAGCCTTAAATACCTAGGCTCCTCCACTGATGAAGTAAAAAAATCAGGTCATCTTTTCTTGTTATTTGAAATTTCAAATTGACCAAAAAGCATATAAAAACAATGATCATTTGAAAATGCTTTTTCAAATTATCTGACCTCCCCAAATTCCCACACTTCCTCTTCCCCAGTAAATTTACTGTCCTAGCTGAAGGGCAACCAGGATGCAGCGGAAGAAGGGAGAGGACTTGCAAGCCCTACATAAGAGACAGAATTCCAACAAATACTTAGGTAGGCAATCTTCATTTTTCAAAACCTCGTAATTATAAAAAAGCTTCCATGAAAAAGCTATATGACATCTTTTTAAAAAGTTTTTTACTTAAGTTTTTTACTTTAATTCCAGTATAGTTAACATACAGTGTTGTATCAGTTTCAGGTGTACAATATAGTGATTCAACAATTCTATACGTTACTCAGTGCTCATCATCATAAGTGTACTCTTTAATCTTTTAATGAAAACTTGTGGGTTTTAGTGAATTCTAATAGAATAGAATCCGAATAGAAGAGAATTCCTAATAGGAATAGAAACCTAGAGTACAAACTGAAGCCTTATATTTAAGGCATCATATGGCAAAGGCCCAAAACATAAATTAGACTCAACAGATCCTTCTAGTTCCAAATTATAAGAACCAAACGTGTTACAATACAAATAAAAAGATCAAGAAAAAAAATGAGAAAGTAACCATAGAAAAATGACATTTCTCTCTGTTAACTTCTAAAACAGAAAACTTCCCTTTGTATAAAGCTAAGAGATCTTACAGTGGAAGAGAGAAAATATCTTTACAGTTCAGGATGTATCCTCTGCCTACTCTCAGCTCCTTGCACCAGCACCAACAGAAATCCAACGGAGCAGAAAGCAACGACCCAATTTTTAGTTGTTTTAAATTTAAGGAAAATACGAAAGTTTAAAAGTGGAAGTTTGAAGAAGATTAATTTAACCCCTACACAGTGACAGCAAAAAGTGGTGTGAAAAGGGCAGACACTCTTCAAAATAAGACAGATCTAGGTTCAAATCTCATGTTTTGCTACTCATGAACTATGTGAACTTAAACAAATACCATGAGTCGGCTTCCTCATCTATAAAATACCGCAAGACTTCAACAAAGGGAAAGGCTTTTAAGACACACATTCTAAGATAATGTCTATAAAGTCTCTAACATAGTGTTAGGCAAATAAGTAAATGTTCCCTCCCCTCTGCATTCAGGTCTGTTTCTAGATACAGATAATCTCAATGTGGTTTCCATGTGTTTTTAAATGTTTTCATCCATTTCAACCAGTAAGTAGGGCAGCACATATACTGGGAGTGCCAAGTACTCAACAAGGAACACAGATATAAACACTAGACAAAAGTGTACGCACGTAAGTACATATGTGCAGATACATGTACACACATATAGATATATATAGGAAGAAAAGATACACGGTGTAAGAATAAATACATACAAAATATACTGTTAACTATGATATGTTGTTAGTTATTACGTGTCTAAATCTGCGCTGGTGAGTACAAGAAGACTTCAAAAAGTCAGGCAGTTCTTGGAAAATACACCGGAGTTGCCAAGCAGCACAGAGGGCGGGACGAGGGCCTTGCCGGCAGAAAGACC